TTCTGATAAGTTCCCGCAACCAGCAGTTATTTATTTAAATATGAAACCATAAATCACCTCATACCCTAAAAAGAAGGGGTTTTCTTCGTGCCTCAAGGTTGTGAAGAAATACAAAGTTCTGGTAACTTATCCATACTTTTGATGGCCTGATTATTTTTGCCTTTCATAGTTGTTTATAAAATATATTGGAGATAAACAGGAATATTGATGCTATCAGTAATGTCTTGCTCAGCATTATTACTTACTGCTCGAAATTATTTGTTCAGTATGGTTGACCATAGGCTTGCAAATGTTGGATAACAGCAGCAAATACTTCTTTCACCTATTTTAAGCTATCTGCAATGCATTATTTACCAACATGATGCATGTTAGAATACAATTTGTCCATCGTGCAAAAGTTGTACTTGAGCAGTTCCTATGAATAGTTCTTCAGTGATTAAGCCGTGGCAAATTTGTCAAGAGGCTTTTCATTGGCTTAGGATCAGATCTTCCATTATGTTACAAAATGCTTAAATAGTATAGGAGGAACATTAGCACACAGTCAGGCAGACGCCACCTGCTATAAAGCAACAGAATTTCTTTCTGCTGTAAGAAGGTCTTCCTGGAGGCATTTGGATGGCCAAGATCCTGGGAACTGGATAGATCTTTGGACTGCAAAGAAATTTTTATGTAAGTAGTAGTTGTAGAAGACTATAATGGGCTTATGACCAAAGTTATGAATATAGTGAACAACTGTTCCAAAAGTTGAAATGTTTACATTGAAATGGAAAATGATTATTAGTACAGAGATACACATTTTTATAGGGCAGTACTGTTAGTATGTTAATGGAGACAAGGAATGGGAAAAATAAACAGCTAGTAGGAAAGATGATCAAGACATGCAAACCAGTTAAAATCAGCTTTGACTATTCAATTTTTTTAAAAAAAACAGCAAAATTCTGCTAAGATTAATAATATATGATGCTAACACCTCAAGAAAACCATCTGAATACAGACGCAGTCAAGATGACAGCTATTCACACCATATTGGAGTAAATGCATCAAGCAGAAATGTGACAACACAAATCTATCACACTGTGTACAGGACTATTTGTGTCATTATGCCAAACTCCAGAAAGGTTTCACCTTGTAAAGTGTTCAAATAGCACCATAACCACTCCTCCACTTTCCACTTTTTGGATTTGTACTTGATCCAGTTTTTTTATTTGTACTTGATCCATGTGGTGGTGCTGTAGAGGGACGTGGTGGCGCTGTGGGCTAAACCGCAGAAGCCTGTGCAGCAGGGTCAGAAGACCAAGCAGTCGTAAGATCGAATCCACATGACGGAGTGAGCGCCCGTCACTTGTCTCAGCTCCCGCCAACCTAGCCGTTCGAAAGCATGCAAATGTGAGTAGATAAATAGGTATCACCTTGGTGGGACGGTAACAACGTTCCGTGTCTAAGTCGCACTGGCCATGTGACCATGGAAGATTGTCTTCGGACAAAACGTTGGCTCTATGGCTTGGAAACGGGGATGAGCACCGCCCCCTAGAGCCGAACATGACTGGACAAAAATTGCCAAGGAGAACCTTTACCTTTACCTGATCCTGTTCAAAATTCTAAGAGGGATATACCAACATCCAGTTCAAAATTCTAAGAGGGATATACCAACAAATATAGATGACAAAATAATGGCTTGCAGACTGAAAACATTCAATATACTAGACCCAAAGAAAGGAGACACCAGAGAGTGCAGGACCATCACACTAATTTCCCATGCAAGCAAAGTGATTATTAAGGTATGGAGCAAGAAATGCCAGATTTTTAAACTTGATTCAGAAAATGAAAAGGCACTGGAGATCATATTGCAAAAATACAATGGCTATGGCAGCATATCAGTTCAGAAGAAAATCAGCCTGTGCTTTATATATTAAAGCCTTCACCAGTATGGATCATGAAAAGTTATGGATAATTCCAAAGAAATGACTGTGCTTTTGACTGTCCTGATGCCTAACCTGTACATTCTAGAAGAACCTACCACTTAGACATAATATGGAGAAACTGAATGCTTTCCAATTAGCAAAGGTGTCAGCCAAGGGTGCATTTTATCTTATTTTCTATTTAATCTATATGAGGAAGACACCTTCCTCATATAGATTAAATAGAAAATGAGATAAAATGCACCCTTGGCTGACACCTGAGTGACATGAAAGAGGCGTGCATGGAAGCAAAATACAGATTTATCTAAGTACCACTCTTTTCAGTGAAGCATGCTTCCAGTGACTCTAACTGGACTTAAAAGCATTATACAACTTCAATACCTATAATAGGATTGTAAACACAACGTGACTCCAAGAGTTGATTGGGGGTTCTTCAGCAATCTTATTCATTTTTTAAAAATCATCTATAGTGTGAAAGGCAAATTTCCAAAATTCTCATATATCAACTAACTGCCCCTATATAAAAAGCAGAAATAAAAAACTCTGCAACAAGAGTTCATACCAAAAGTAGCACACATCAAAGAATAAACTATTGTGAAAACTTTTTTCCATAATTTACATTCATAAGACTAGAAAGAAGGTACATAGATAGTACAAATTTTAACCTGCAAATTTACACAAGGGAATTCAAATTGAAGACAGACTTATTAAAGCATACACTGAAATCTTAAAAAGTATATTGGAAACCAGGTCTCAATATGTAGTAAATGCATTCTGAAACTAGTTTCATTCTATCATACTTTAGAATCTGTCCCATCTTCATCCGTACTTGAAAGGATATCCTAATTGACTTATTGCCAGTTTAGACTGTTTAGATTCAAGAGTCCCAAACAAATGGATGTGAGTAAGTTGTAATGCACACTGAATCCAGCATTTACACTAGCAGAATTTATTTTGCAAATAATAATAATAATTTCACTAAGGTTATTATAGTTAATTGAACGCAAAAAACTACAAGAAATTTGTAAGTTATTTAGTACTAGATTTTCTTTTTATCTAGAAAGTAAACTTAATGGACTAAACATGTTGTCATTAAACACCACTATGATTGCAACAGATAGCTGTTCCATAAAAATTCAAATAATGAATCACAGCAACTTCTATCCTGCTTTCATTTACCTTAAATGAAAATCAGTATGTAAGATGCTAACCAGCCCCACTTGTTATGCAAGCAGCACCACTTCATCTGTAGTTTAGTGAGCAAGCCATTCCTGTAGGGATAAGTGATACAACATGCTGCATTATGTTGTTCTCAACACAGAACGCTAACAATCACCCTTGGGAAGACAGAATTTTAAAGGCAGAAAAAGAAGCACTCCTTGCATTCTGTAAAAGTTGCTGAAGCATTTACCGTGGATAACCACGCAGCTGTACACTCGCATGTGCACATGTATATACAACACACATGCAACCTCACAATGTTATGACGTTTCCTCTTGCCCGTCTTCCTTTACTAGTTTCAACCAGCGTAGGAGAAAATGCTGTATTTTTGTGTCAGGGTTCAAGAAAAAGGATGCCTTTTCTCTATGGCGGGGTCCCAATAAACTTAGAAGATTTTTGACACTTCGAAGTGTCACACTCCCTCCCATCCAATCTAAAATCTATAAGTGACTACAGTGATCCAAACCTTGAATAAGTACTCAGGCAATATCCTTCAGGGTTTGCCATCGAAATGTCTGTATCTCCGGACCTAGTATATAGTGTTGCCCAGCTTCTATTCTTTAAGCTCATCCTCCCGAAGCAAAAAATAAAAAGTGAGGAGAGGGTGATACATATCGCTATTCTGTTGCCCTCTCGGCTTTATTGCAAAGGTGACCAGGAAAGATAACTGCTATCTAGCAAAGTTAATCTCCATATCGGTCCTTCTCTGGGGAAACGCTGAGTGGGACTTACAGGCAAGATCGATCCGCCCAAAAACTGAGGATCGAGTCCGATGCCACTTCGCTTGATAATCCCCCCCCCGCCGTCGCCGCCCCTCGCAATTTTAAGGGTCCACGCGCATGCATACGCGCGCGCGCGCGTGTGTGGCATTTTACATGTTAAAGCTCCTTTTAATTCTGTCAGAAAATCGATCTGGCGGCAGCCCTTACACCTTTCCTGCCGACCCGCTTTCGTTCCTTTGGCAAAGTCCACGCGAGTGGCAAGCCCCGCCAACCGTCCAGCGAGCCGAGCCGACGCGTGTTTTCCCTCCACACACACACACACACACACAGACACAGACACACACACAGAGAGAGAAGTCGACCGTTTAGCGGTGGGCTGATTCGCCGGCAAGCACGCCTAGGACCGGCGTCGGAGCGGAGCCTCTGGCCGAGCGGCGTGCGCAGAAAAGCAAGGCAACCTGCCCTGGCGTAAAGGCGAGGGAAGTTGGCCGCTTTAAGAATCACAGCAAACGACAGGGAACTTTTTTTGGGGGGGAAGGATTGGCTGGGGGGGGGAAGCACGGGAAGGAACGACAGACGGGGGGCCGGGACGCGCAGGACAGCCCCAGCGCTTCAAGGCGCCTGCCCCAAAACCCGGCGGGAGCCAAACCCCTGAGGAGAAGCGCCCGCGTCCTTTTGCCACGAACGAGTTTATTGACTGGGTGAAAGGAGTCCGAAACAGGGAAGCCCCGTTAATGATACATGCTAGGCAAAGCGCTCAAAAAGGTGTTTTTTTAAAAAAAGAGAGAGGGAATGCTGTGGAGAAAAAGGAAAGAGCCGAGTGTGGGATGGAAACGACGAAGTGAAGGGGATTCAGCCTCGACTTGGAGCGCGGCTGCCTCCCCGTTCTCCCCCCCCCGTCCCCCAGCGCTTCTTCCTCGTCTGCAAGGGCAGCTACCACTCCGGCCGTGACGGGCGAGAGAAAGGGAGGAGGCAAAAACGGTGTGTGTGTGTGTGTGTGGGGTGCCCCTGCTTTTCTTTTTCGCGCTCTTTTCTTTGCCGACCCCAAACCTCCTCCTCTTCTCCCCCCTCCCCGCCGCCGCCGCCGCCGCCGCCACGGCCCGGCACTCTGGGACGGGCAACCAAAGACAGCCCTTACCTTGAGGCGGGGATGGGAGTGCGGAGGACGCGGCCCCGAGACAGCCTCGGCGGAGCGGAGGCAGGCAGATTCTCCCGGCACGGGCGAGGCAGCGCGAGGAAGGCAAGCCGACAGGCGACCGCCGGTG